TACCGCCACTGGGGCCTTAGTTGGAGCTCCCTATGGAGCCACGAGGCTCTGTCCTGGGTGGGGGAGACCCATGTGGACACCGCAACTGGTGCTTTAGCTGGAGCTCCCTATGGGACCACAAATGTTTGTGCTGGATGGGGGAGACGCATGTGGACACCGCCACAGGGACATTAGGTGGAGCTCCCTATGGAGCCACGAGGCGCTGTGCTGGGTTGGGGGAGACACGCATGTGGACACCGCCACTGGGGCCTTAGGTGGAGCCCCCTATGGAGCCACGAGGCGCTGTGCTGGGTGGGAGACACGCATGTGGACACCGCCACTGGGACCTGACGTGGAGCCCCCTATGGAGCCACGAGGCGCTGTGCTGGGTGGGGGAGACGCATGTGGACACCGCCACTGGGACCTTAGGTGGAGTTCCCTATGGGGCCACGAAGCGCCGTACTGGGTGTGGGAGACGCATGTGGGCACCGCCAATGGGATCTTAGGTGGAGCTCCCTATGTGGACACGAAACGCTGTGCTTGGTGGGGGAGACGCATGTTGACACCGCCTTTGGGACCGTAGGTGGAGCTCCCAATGGTGCCACGAAACGCTGTGGTGGGTGGGGGAGGCGCGTATGGACACTGCCACCGGAACCTTACGTGGAGCTCCCTAAGGAACAACGAAGCGCTGTGCTGGGAGGGGGGACGCATGTGGGCACCGCCTTTGGGACCTTAGGTGGAGCTCCCTATGGGGCCACGAAACGCCGTACTGGGTGGGGGAGACGAATGTGGACACCGCCATTGAGACTTTAGGTGGAGCACCCTATGGAGCGACGAGGCGCTGTGCTGGGTGGGGGAGACGCATGTGGACACCGCCACTGGGACCTTAGGCGGAGCACCCTATGGGGCCACGAAACGCCGTACTGGGTGGGGGATACGCATGTGGGCACCGCCCTTGGGACCTTAGGTGGAGTTCCCCATGTGGACACGAAACGCTGTGCTGGGTGGGGGAGACGCATGTTGACACCGCCTTTGGGACCGTAGGTGGAGTTCCCAATGGTGCCACGAAACGCTGTGCTGGGTGGGGGAGACGCATGTGGACACCGCCACTGGGACCTGACGTGGAGCTCCCTATGGAGCCACGAGGCGCTGTGCTGGGTGGGGGGGGGAGACGCATGTGGACACCGCCACTGGGGCCTTCGGTGGAGCTCCCTAGGGTGCCACGAAGCGCCGTACTGGGTGGGAGAGACGCATGTGGACATCGCCACTGGGACATTAGGTGGAACTGCCCATGTGGCCACGAAACGCTGAGGACATGCGCAGGGCAGAGGCAGGGATGGGAGGAGGGAGGAGGAAGGAAGGAGGGAGGAAATGAGGGAGGGAAGGAACGCGGGGACCGTCTCTTCAAAACGAGGACCCAACACCACAGGATGGTTGGGAAAAGGCGCCCTCCACCAATGCAGCTGTTACACACGTTCGGCTTTCTTGATTCTCTCGAAAGCAATGAAGTCCCAAACACATGCCACATGCTGAACAGGGGCCTTCCTCCATTCCTGTAACTGCTGCTGCATGTTCCGAAAAGTTCTTGCGGCGCTAGGGCGAGAGCCCCGTTTTGAAAATGAGCCGCCCTCCATCCCCTGAGACGACTGCAAGCCGTTCAGACGAATGCGCGCGACGCTATGGGCGAGAGCCCCATTGTGAAAACGGCTCCATTCCGTTTTTGAAGTTGTTGCAGGTTGTTCAAACGAATATGCACGGCTCTAAGGCGAGAGCCCCGTTTTGAGAGCCACCCCCCACCACACTTGATTTTCGAAACTGTTCCGAAGTACGAGGGCGAATGTGCGCGGCGCTGAGGCGAGAGCTTGGTTTTTGAAACAACCCCCCATCAGTACTTGAAACGGTTGCAATATTTTGAAGCCTAAAGCTCGCGATGCCTGATGCGGGAGCCCCCTTTGGAAAGCCACCCCGACGCGCGTCAGGCGCCGCCGCGACAGGCTGGAAGCGGGGAATCGGAGGGTCAGGGTCAACGTTAAGGCAGGGGGGAAAGGCGCATGGGTGGAGGAACGTTGGCGAGGTTCTCGGGCGTTGTCGTTCGTCCTCAGCGGCTCTCCAGCCTCGGTATGCTCTCCAGCAGCCGCGCCTCGCCGAGAGCGTTCTGGGGGTGCCCGGATCGTCCCGAACGGCAGCCAGAGAGCAGAGTTACGAGTTGAGAACAAATGGGTAACGTTCGGGTGGGATAGGTTCAAGGAGGGATGCACCGATCCCCGATGGCCCCTTCATCGCCGACAGGGGCCCGATAGGTTGGTCCCCTCTTGAGTTGGTCCCACCTATCGTCGCCCCTCAAGGAGGACCTCCAACCTCCGCTGAGGGAAATGGGTCCTGGAGGTTTTTGCTGGTTGTCGGGGTCCCAGGGCCTTCCCCAGGCCCCTTGACCCAGGGCCGTCAGGAAACATTTCAGGATGAAATCGGTCCTGAGGGGTCCTAGACTCCAGGATTTTCCCCAGGACCATCTCTCCCTCCTAGGCCAGGGCCCATCCTGAGGGAAAAGACACCCCGGACCCCGGGGCTTTCCCCAGGACCGCTGCTTCGTCCTGGGTCGTTCTGTGGACGGCCCTTGGGCCCGCGAGAGGCCCAGACGCCACGAAGCGGCGAACGACATCCGGGCCAGGGCCCCAGAAGCCAGGACGCAGGACTTGGGTGAGACCCACCGTGAGCCCGACCCGGACCCCCTTTCCTCCAGGCAAGGCTTCGGTCTGCGCACACACAGCCCACCCCCTTGGATGGCCTCCTCCTCCTCCTCCTCCTCCTCCTCCTCCTCCTCCTCTCCTCCTCCTCCTCCCTCCTCCCCTCCTCCCTCCTCCCTCCTCCCTCCTCCCTCCTCCATCCTCCCTCCTCCCTCCTCCCTCTGTCTCCTTCCCGCCTCCTCTCCCCATCCTCCCTCCTCCCTCCTTCCCCTCCTCCCCTCCTCCCTCCTCTTCTCCTCCGCCTCCTCCTCCCTTCTTCTCCTCCTAGCCTCCTTTTTCTCCTCCTTCTCTCCTCCTCCACCATCCTCCCCTCCTCCTCCTCCTCCTCCTCCTCTCCTCCTCCTCCTCCTCCTCCTCCTCCGTCCTCCTCCTCTTCCTAATCGACACCCCAACCCTGTGGCGCGGAGCACCCCCGGGGCGCCGCCAGAGGCGGCGTTAGGATGTTGAGACCGCCCCGTTCCTGCTTCGGGCTGCCCACAGACAGCCCCCCCGGGTGACCCCATGCCAGCGAAAATCGCACCCTGGGGATAATGAAGTTCGGGGTCCTGGGAGGATGAGACAGCTTCTTCCGGAGGTATCGATGTTGGGACGTCTGGATAGATTCTGAATGACCTCCAAGCTGATCTGGAGGAAGAGGAGGGGGAAATTTCAAAAGAAACCAAAGTCTCGAAACTATCAAATCCGTTCTCTGTTTGAAACAAGTGGGTTTTAGGTGGTTGTTTATTCGTCGTATAGGAGTACTCACGGTTCTTTTTGGGGGGGAGGAAAAATACGGCGATTATCAAGTTCGTCCTCCTCTCTCTCCTCCTCGCCCTCCTATCTCCTCCTCGCCCTTCCTTCCTCTCTCCTCTTCTTTCCTCTTCTCTCTTCCTCTCTCCTCCTGCCCTGATATGGTATGAAATCAGAGCGGCGATGCGAACCTTGGGGGTGATTATAAAGTTCGCCCAAAGTTAGCCCCCCGCGCCTCTTGTGGCAACTGGAACCGACATACACCCCGTGGATAATCAGATAGACTAGGTGAAGGGGAAGGGTCGCCCTTATTATCCGCGGCATGCGGTTAGTCGCGGCGGGCCTCAACAGGCTCCCCGAGTACACTCTGGCGCCGCCTCCGGCGGCGCCCCTGGGGCGCTCCGCGCCACGCGTGGGGGTGCTGAGACCGCCCTGGACTATTCGGACGATTTTGTGGAGGCCAGCCAGGACTATTTGAGCGGTGCTGTCTGCGCGCCGCCCGAAGCCTTGCCATTTCCTCCAGGACCCGCTTCATCCGGGCCGAGACCTCACCTCCTCCTCTTCCTCCTCCCCCTCCTCCTCCTCCTCCTCCTCCTCCTCCTCTCCTCAACCTCCTCCTCCTCCCCTCCTCCTCTTCCTCTTCCTCCTCTCTCCTCCTCCTTCTCCTCCTCCTCTCCTCCACTCTTTCTCCTCCTCCTCCTCCTCTTCCTCTTCCTCTTCCTCCGCTTCCTCCTCCTCCTCCTCCTCCTCCCCTCATCCTCCTCTTCCTCCTCCTTCTCCCTCCCCTTCCTCCCTCCCACCTCCTCCTCCTCCTCCTCCTCCTCCTCCTCCTCCTCCTCCTCCCCCTCTCCTCCCTCTCCTCCTCCTCCCCTCCTCCTCCTCCTCCTCCTCCTCCTCCTCCTCCTCCTCCTCCTCCTCCTCCTCCTCCTCCTCCTCCTCCTCCCCTCCCCTCCCGTGCCCAGGAGCTCGGCCGGCCTCCTCAAGGGAAGCAGGGACGAGCGCGACACGACGATCGCGGACTTGCAGCGGCAGCTCGAGGGCGAGAAGGAGAAGAACAGGACCTCGTCGTCGCCGACGCCGCCGCTGGGGCACGCCGCTGCCCCAGACCTCCAACGCATTGAAGAATCAGATGCGGAGGCCTTTCGTCGATTTCTGGCATCTGGGAACCCTCGCCGAGCCACGGGACCGCCAACAGGCGATTCAGGACGCAACATTGGCCCTGGGGGGTGCCGTGCCTTCCGGGCACCCCGGATTGAAAAAACAATGCGTCGGATCTCTGGGGCGCAGAGAATCGGCTGACGGTTTACCGTAGGCATCTCGCCGCCGTCGCCGTCGCCGCCGGCGCGCCGTGGCACGCCGCCGGGCTTGCTTTGCGCCCGGTGGTCAGCGTCCGGCTGGCCATGGGCGTGGCCGCCCAGGAGGAGGAGGAGGAGGAGGAGGAGGAGGAGGAGGAGGAGGAGCAGGAGGAGGGGAAGGAGGAGGAGGAGGAGGAGGCGGATGAGGGGGAGGTGGAGGATCGAGGAGGATCGAGAAGGAGGAGACTCAGGGAGGATCAGGCTCCACCAGCCTCGTGGCGCCGTGCGGGCCAGGGCGGCGCGGGGCGCCCAGACCGCGGGCCTGGCGGGCGCCCGGGCCGGGGGCCAGGCGGGCCGCGGGCGCTTGGCGGCGGCGGCGACGGAGGGTAGCCTTCTTCCCGTCCCCTGCTTCCTTCTCCTATGGGCGCATGCTTTGTGGGATTCATGGTTGGACTGCGAGAGAGAGAGAGAGAGGAAAAACAGAGAGAGAGAGAGGGCAGACGATCTGCCGCTGGCATCCGGTCGTCGTCGCCGTCGTTGTCGTCGACGCGCGGGGAACGCCGCCGTGTTTGTTCTGCGGCCGTTGTGTAGAGAAAGCGGACGACCACTGGCATCTGGTCGTCGTCGTTGCCGTCGGGCACACCGCTTTGCTTCACCGAGCGCGTTCCACTACTCGGAAAGTGCCTCCTCGCAAACGTCAAAAAAATGGCAGTTCGATGGAATGGAATTTGTTTTCCTCGATGCAATGGATCCAGGTCGTTTGCGAGTAACTAGTTTGCGAGTAGTGGAACGCGTTTGTTTATTGTTTGTTTTACACCCGTTGCGCAGAGAGGGCAGGACCAACGCGTGAGAAGAGGTATTGATTTGCCTAGTTAGCCGAACCGCCTGTTTTGACTTGTTGGCGCATTGTTTCGCAGGAGCCTTGAGGACCAGTACAAGTACAGGGTGGCCACCTTCGTCAAGCGCGAAACGCAGACCAAGAACAAGATCGACGCCCTGGAGAAGAGGCTCGGCGACGCCCCCGAGGCCGACGAACACCTGCAGCGCATGGCAGTGATCGAGAACATGCACAAGTCGGTGGTCGCTGGGCTCGAGTGCATCCAGGGCAACACGTCGAAGATTCTACAGGAGCCCGCCGGGCCCCGACGGCGAAGTACCCGAGGGCCGCGGTGGGATGTCCCACCGGGTGGTCCTACAGCAACGACGCTGACATGAAAATCAGTTTGGTCTCAGAAGGGGCTCGGGCTTTCGGGCCGTTCTTTAGATGTATTTCGCGGAGTTCGTTTGTAGCCTAGGCCCGCCGTGGCCAGAAAAGCCCGTTCGTTCTTTGACACGCGTTCCTGAAAGTAGCACGCTGTCCGCACATCTGGGTGATTTTCATTGGCCTCTGCAGGGCCCCATCCATCGTTGTGGCAGGATTCTGGTCCCTGGCTGATCCAGCCGGTACCAGGGAAGTGGTCAGGGGGGAGGGGACGGTTGCAGCAGGCACAAGGGTTTAGAACAACCATCGCATAGGAGAGGCACCCTTACGTCACTTTCATTCCTCCTCGTCGTTCCCCTCCCTAGTGAGGCGCGCAAGGACAAGTAAAAGGAAGTGATGGACAGTCAAAACGCCAGAATAATGGCAACGCTCTGCTCAGGAGGGGCCATGGTTGCCGACCCTCTCCTTAAATCTAGGTCGGGAAACATGTTCGTGGCCGAAGCTCGCCGTGGCCAGAAAAGCTCATTGGCTCCTTCATTGCTTGCCTGGCGTTTCTGATGATAGCGCGATGGCTTTGCTCGTCGGCGTAGGTGGCCTCTTCAGTATCACTGTGCCCCCCCTGCGCCCTGTCACACGTGATCCGGGAAGCTCGCGGGTGCTTCACCCCGAGGGGGAGGAATAGGAGGAGGAAGACATTCAAAGTGGGCCAGGGACACACAAATAGATACACACAAATCCTAGGATTCCCCATACATTCCCATGCTTCCTGGGTGCGTCGTCTTCCCCCCCACTTCCCATGTTTTCCCATATTATCCTGAACATGGTTTGCCTTCGCCGCTGTGTGAGGAAGAACTAAGGAGCGGCAGCGTCATCAACTAGCAGCTGTCCCTCGGACTCGATACCGGGAGGAGTCGGAGGAAGACGTGAAGGGAGATAGGAAGGAGGGAGCGAGGAGGAGGGGGGAAGGATCGGGAGAGGAGGAGGACCAGAGTAAGTGAACCCAAGACGCATCAACAATGCCGCCATACACTCTTCCGTCCCAAGTTCCATCCTCACGGGCTCCTCCAAGCCTTCCGCATCATAAAGAAGCGTCCCCTGGGAAAGACAGCACCCCATGGGCCTACCATTCCGAAGAGACCCCCGTTTTGAAAAGGAATTGGTTTACGTCCGTCTAGCGGGCATACAGAGTTACGAAGATGTAAGCCCATGCAGTTCAACGAGGTGTCCAATGACATCCCCGTTTTGAAAGTTGGCCGCCCCCATCTATGCAAATGCGTATGTCCACATGTTTGTACTCCTGACCATGAGATGACATTCGAGGAGGTCTCAAGCGAGAGCCCTTATCAGCCAACGTGCCAGCGTGGACCCCAAACAGTCCTTTCAATTTACTCGGTGCAGTCGACGTGGTGCAATCAATGTGGCGCAATCTAGGTGATGCAATCCATGTAGTGCATGCCGTCGATGTGGCACAAAGTCCTGCAAAACAATTCAAAGCAACGAAAAAAAACAACAACCACAAAACGAAGTAATGCAACGCAATGCAAAGCAATCCAAAGCGGAGCAAAGCAATGCAAAGCGATGCATAGCAGCGCAAAGCAATGCAACGCAATGCGATTGCAAAGCAATGTGATGCGATCGCAATGCAAAGCAGTGAGATTGCAGGAGGAGGGGGATGATGATGATGAGGAGGAGGAGGAGGACCAGTGTAGACCCAAGATCCATTAACGATGGTGCACAAAACCCTCCTTCAAAGCTCCCTCTCAAAATTGCCCTAGAAGAACTCATCTCCACTGAGGAAGGTGCCCCGTTGGGAGACAACCGTTTGAAAATCCTGAACCGCGGCAGAGCATCAGCATTGGGATTTCAACGCCACGAATCAACCTTGCTGTTGCGTCTTGACGATCCTGAACCGTGCCAGAACAGCGTTCCTAGGACCTCAACACCGCGAATCAAATTAACTGATGCGCCCTGACAATCCTCCGTCGTTCCAAACACCGGTTCTGTACGTGAACCATTAGAATATTCGAAATTCGTGCAATGTTTGAAGACGAGTGTGCGCGGCGCTAAGGCGAGAGCCACAATTTGAAAACGACCTGTCCGCCATCCGTGAAATTCTTGCACGTTTAAGACGGATTGCGCGGTGCTATGGCGAGAGCCGTATTTTGAAAACGACTTGTTCTCAATCCGCGAAACTCTTGCAATTCTTGTCAAACGAGTGCGCGCGGCGCCTAGGCGAGAGCCACATTTTGGTAACAACCCGCCCTCAATCCATGAAGCCGTGGCCATTTTTGAAACTACAGGATCATACATGGCACGGGGGTCTCACGCGAAGCGCCCAGCCCGCCTTTCCGACCGGCCTCGGGGTGCGACAGGGAGGAGTTATTTAATGTTTCGCTCATTCCGCCAGCCCGTTTCGCATTACTGTGGTTGCGTGGTGGTGTGCTCGTGGCCCGAGGGAACAGTACTGGATAGGCAGGAATGTCCTCGAGGAGATCTTTGGAGATGTGGCTCAAGTTCCAGCAGAGTTTCGAGACGCACTTTGGGTTGTTGGTCAGAGTCCTCATGGATGCTTCTTGTGGTCTCTTCGGAGGGCTCTTGGGAGCCTCTGGGGAGCAGTTTTGAGTCTTCTGGGGGGCCTCTAGGGCGCTTCTTAGGGACCTCTTGGGGCTTCCTGGGGTCCTGTTGGGAGTCTTCGAGGCCTCTTTGGGGAGCTCTTTGGGGCCTCTGGAGGCTTCCTGGGCGCCTATTGGGGCCGAGAGATCGACATGTGCGTTCGGGTTCCCCCTCTGGGCCCCCTCTTGGGGCCATCTTGGAGCCGTCTTGGAGGCTTCTTGGGCCGTCTTAGGGCCATCTTGGGCCGTCTTGGAGCGATCTTGGAGCCTCTTGGGCCGTCCATGGCAGTCGGCATCTCGAAAAGGCGGTACCCCGCCAAAACCGTTTGAAAACCATGCAAAATCAATGATTGTTACGTTTTAGTGGCCTCTCGAAGTCCTCTTGTAACCCTCCTGGAGCGTCTTGGGCGCTTCTTGGGCCGTCTTGGGGCCAACATGGGCCATCTTGGAACGCTCTTGGCTGATTTGGCGCCTCATTGGGGCGCTCTGGGGGCCCCCGAGGCCACGCCCAGGAGTTCAGGCATCTCTGACCCGACCCTGCCAGGACCTTGCCAGGGTACTTTTCGTCCGGGGACCCCCAGGGGCCGCCACGCGCGCGCGAACCAGAAACAGTCTTAAATTCTCACCGGAGATTGTAGCACGCCTCTGGCACGGTGGGCCAGCGATGTTATGGGGAAAGGGAATGGAGGAGGAGGGAGGGGAGAGGAGAAGGCGGGTGGAGGAGGGAGCAGGAGGACGAGGGAATGAGGGAGGGAGAGAGGGAGAGAGAGGGACGGGGGAGGGAGGAGGAAGGACGGAGGAGGGAAGAGGGAGGAGGAGGAGGAGGGAGGAGAAGGAGGCGGGAGGAGGAGGCGGGAGGAGGAGGACAAGGAGGAGGAGGAGGAGAAGGCGAGGAGGAGGAGGAGGAGGAGGCGGGGGAGGAGGAGGAAGAGGAGGAGGAGGAGGAGGAGAAGGCGAGGAGGAGGAGGAGGAGGCCGCTGCCTCAGTGGGCGGGCCCCTGCATCCGCACTCGCCGTGGCCGGGGTTTGCCCCTTCCTCAAGGCAAGGAGCCCTCCAGGTCCCCTCGGGGCCCCCCAGAGCCTTGACCTCCCAGATGGGGTCACCCAGCTCCACTTGGGGATCAAAGGTTCGTGGATCGAGGGCCGAGAGGTTGCTTGGGCGTTCTTGGTGGTTTGGCCTCTTAGACTGGGTCCGATTAAATGGGGTCGGAGGATCTGGCCGCATCGCCGATGCACCGGCGATGCGGCACGATGTGGAGCCCGATCTTCTCCACGCCGACGACTCCGATGCATCGCAGAGGTCGCCGATGCATCGGCGATGGGGCCGGATCCGCCGACCCCATTTAATCGGACCAGATCTAGGAGGCCAAACAACCAAGAACGCCCAAGCGACCTCTCGGCCCTCGATCCACGAATCTTTGATCCCGAAGCGGAGCTGGGCGACCCCCCTACAGACAGTCAGGTAAAGTTGGTACGGTTTGCCTGGACTGGAAGCGTGACCGAATTTGCCTGGACTGGGAGCGTGACAATCAACGCGTCACCGGAGTCTGAACCTCAAGGAGGGGCCAGCGATGGCATCGACGACGCCGGCGACGGCGAGGTCCAAGACGTCGGAACTCAGAGGAGCAGCTCGGCAAAGTTCTAGAAGGAGCCGCATGAGGGAAGTTCTGGAAGGAGCCGCCTGAGTAAAGCTCCAGAGGGAGCGCCGGAGTAAAATTCCAGGAGACGCCTTCCCCCCCCCCATGTCGCGCCTGCTTCGCGCTCCTGCGTAAGTCGTGCTCGGGGTCCTTCGCTGCCCCTGAGTATCATTATGCAACGGTACAGTGGTCCGACAGGATCCGTACCAAACACGCTACTTTCCCACCGCTCGGATCCGTCCAAAACCAATCGAATTGGCATAGGATCCGTCCTTTAAGCATCGGATCCGCGCAGGATCCGTAGCGGATCCGTACCCGGATCAGACGCCCGAGGCGAGGTTGACGCTCCCGAACGCGGACCCTCGTCAACGTCTGCAGGGGCCCCTGCATTCGTTTTTCGGCGCCCGACGTTGCGCCCATCGCCTGCGACCTGCCGCCAAACCACCTTTCCCCAGGCTGACTGGGCCGACGGCCCCTGGCCTGGCTGGACCGACGGTCTGGTGCCCTCGTGCGATTTGACACTTCAGCCCGAGTTTTCAAATTGTACCAGTTTACCTGACCGTCTATATTGGTAACCCCCCTGGCACTGCCTCACAGGAAGAGAGGGCCCAGCGCCGATCGAAGAAGTTCGAGCAGACCTCCGAACGGTTATGGTTGTGCTGACGCTTCGTCTTATGAGTACTCTTGTTGTTATCATTAGTATTGTTCTTATCATTTGTTTTATTATTATTCAGAGTGGGTCGCTACGTCGACTATAAGGCAGGACCGTCAGGTGAGGCTGGGACTTTCTTGATCGGCACAAAGCAAGCGAGCAAGCACTTCTGGGATGCGCGACGACGCTGGAAGACGGGTCTCCAGGGCTCCGAGATTGAATCGTGGCCTAGAGATAATCACAGCTTCGCAGTCTGATAAGGCTGTGCAGGGCTTACGCTGCGTTGCGGAGGCGGCTCGAGCCAAGCTAGCCTGCTGCATATCTAGCTTCAGTTCCGCGCGCCCATCATTTCAGAACCTTTCGGCCTCCCCGCACGTTCATATTCCCCTGCTGTGGTCACGAGACTCGAGGTTTCTGGCGACTTCTCGGGAGGCATCTTGCCAGCATCTCTTGAGCAGATAATGAAAGCATTGGCGCAGAAATGTTGTACCGTCCACTGATGATTCAAAGGTCGACAATGAGATGACGAGCGCACCGGAAGAGAAGAGGCCGGATTGAATGAGTTGAGTTTTGTTGGTTGCCACCATGTTCTGGCAGGTTCTGCGGGGATCTCGATAGCGCGGCCCACTTCCCCGAGGCGCGCGTCGGCAGGCAGGTTTCAGTAGCCGTGTAAGCCCAAGCTGTTGGCTGGAGTCGGAAGAGGGCCAGTCGAGACGACGGCGACTCTCCCGCCGGGCCCAAGTCAGCTCAGCATCGCTTCTCCGACCCCTTTTGGTGTCTATTCTGACATAGTTCCCGAGGCGGCTCCAGCCGTGGCGACGAGAAGCCTCCCGAGGGCCCCAAGAGGAAGAGCATCGGCAGGGATGGTCGCCGCCGCCTCGACGGGCCCTCCCGCGATGGATCTCTGTAGCCCTTTGGGTTCGAGCTTTCTGGCCAGAGGCGAGTTTCGCCTCCGGCTCTGGGCGCACCTTGCGCCACTGCGTGGCAAGCAGTTCTTTCGGCACGATCGAGATGGGTACGGAAAGAATGGGTTCGGTCGGACCTGGGACAGAAGAGTATCCTCCAAGAGCATGAGGCCCTCCGCCAGCCCAAGACTGAAGAACATTCGAGGCTGGCTTCCGACCTCGATCTGATCCCTCGGTCCGACCCTACGAAGACCGCCGGGTTCTCCTGTCCGTTTTGAACCGGGTTCGCTGTCGGAGTTGCCGCGGGCGTTGCCCGTTCGAGACGGAAGGGCCGCCTGCCCGACAGCGGCCGCTGCCGGCTGTGGACAACACGTGTTGCTGGGCATGGTAGCCCATTTTTTGTTAGTCCTCCTCCCCCTCCTCCTCCTCCTCCTCCTCCTCCTCCTCCTCCTCCTCCTCCTTCTCCTCCTCTACCCATCTCCTCCACCCATCTCGGGCGCCCAAGTCCCCGCACCCCGGGGCGGCGCCATGTCCTTCCTCGTGCCCGGAGGCCAGGCGGTCGCGCGCGGCCTCACCCGCGGCAGCCTGGCGGCGTCGTTCCACGCCGGGGACGCGCGGGGCCTCGCTGGCGGCACCCCGGCGGCATCCTCGGAGGAGGGCCAACGGGGGGCCCTCCCGGGCGCTCCTCCCTGGGAGCGGGTCCTCCTCCTCCTTCTCCTCCTCCTCCCTCCTCCTCTTCCTCCTCCTCCTCCTCCTCTTCCTCCTCCTCCTCCTCTTCTCCTCTTCCTCTTCTTCATCCACCTCCTCCTCCTCCTCCTCCTCCTCCTCCTCCTCCTCCTCCTCCTCCTCCTCCTCCTCCTCCCCCCCTCCTCCTCCTCCTCCTCTTTCTCCTCCTCCTCCTCTTCCTCCTCCTCCTCCTCCTCCTCCTCCTCCTCCTCCTCCTCCTCCTCCTCCTCCTCGGCGCATTGTTTTCACACCGGGCAGTTTCGCCCAGCTTCGGGCCCCAGGGCGCTGACAGATCGATGCGGCTCGGAGAGAACCCAGACATCGGGCGTCTCGAAAAAATCTTGGTTTCTTCATCGTTGTTGGCCTCTCAGGGCCCTCGCCGGGCCTCGGGACCGTCAAAAAACGACTCGGGACGAAAAACCTGTCCGGGGGAAGTGGTCGGGAGGTCGGGGGCCCGTGTCTCGAGAAAATCGAGACGTCGGATGTCTGGGAAGCGCGCAGAGAGGGATGGGGTCCCAGGCTCCAGTGGTGGTTTGTGTTTGCGGTGCTGCTTTTTTGGCAGCGTCGGGTCTGAGGGCTCGGCCTTCCGGGAGGGCTGTGACGGAGTGACCTTCTGGTGCGGGCCCACAGGGATTCCCCCAGCGCTGGCCCGCACGCTTGGGTTTGGCGTCCCCGCGGCCCCCGAAAGCCGCGCACCAAAGGCCACGCTTGCCTGGGGTCACTCTTGCGTGTAGCCGACTGGCGTTCGTCGTCCTTCCAGGGGGCCTCCTGGAGACGCTTCGCCGCCAGGGTCGGATCCGGCTCGGAGAGCTGGTCGGGGTGGACCTCCATTGCGACGGTCGGGGGGGCGATGTGGAGCAGACCTGGGCTCGGGCGGGAGTCTCCACCGGCCGTCCTCCGAGCATCGTTTCACGCCGGGGACACGCGCGGCCTCACACGCGGCAGCCTGGCGCTGGCGCTGAACACGGGGGGCGGCGTGGAGCGTGCGGGCGTCGAGCTGCAGGAGGTCAGGCTCGACGCCGTCGCCGAGGCGCCATCCTCGCCGTCCAGCGCTGGGCCCAGGCACGATGCCCGGGGCCTGGCCCGAGCGCACCCTCGGGAGGACAAGCCTCAGGTGAGGAAGGTGTTCTGGCTCTTCATGTGCATTCAGATCATGGTCAACTACGATGGCGGCGCGATCCCCGCCATTCTCGGTACCCTGCGAGAGGAATTCCAGGTGAGCGAGTTCGAGCTCGGCGTGATCAATTCGGTGCCATACCTGGGCATTCTCATATCCTCGACGTATTCTGGCTTGATATTGCAAAAGTGCTCTCAGAAGACAATTCTCTCAGGAATGCTGATAGTGAACGCCATGTTTTGTGCTCTGCTGGCGGTTGCGCCGCACTGGGGCTTCTTCATGTTGGCGCGAATATTCTTGGGCTTGACACAAGGCCCGTTTATCATCTACGTTGCTGTGTGGGTCGAGGAGTTCGCCCCCGTGGAGAACAAGACGAGCTGGGTTGGTATTGTGCAGGTGGGCGTGCCTCTCGGGGTGACCCTGGGCTACCTCGTCGCCGGTTTCCTTGTGATCAAGGGCATCCCTTGGAGGTACGCCTTGGGTATCCAGTGCATAACGATCACGCTGCTCAGCCTGATTCTTGTGACCAGGAAGTGCCCGCACGTGGACAACCCCTGGACCAGCCCTCGCATGAAGGAGTGGAGAGAAGCCTGGGAGCCGCAGCAGCTCTACGGGAACGACGCGCCGCGCCAGTCCGACGGCTCTGCCGAGCAGACTGGCGAAGAGAACGCGCAGATGTCGGACGGAAGTGTCGAGCTGGAAAGGCAGTCGAAGATGACGATGATGGAGCAGCTAAAATTGCTCGCAAATCAGTATCGTTTAACAGACCCCCATCCCCATCCCAATCCCCATCCAGACACCCACCATCTCAGCACCTTAGTTTGGGATACGCCCCGTCGAAGCCCGAAGGAAACGGCCAATATATCTCCATCTAGGGGGGAAGCCGGCCAGCGGGGCCCAGCCACGCCGTTGGGGATAGGGGTCGGATAAACGATGCTCAAATACGCCAGTATTCATCATGATCCTCATCGTGCTCTCGTCTCGGCTACACGTAAGAGTGACCTTTTGCCAGAGTGACCTTCGATGCGGGCACGCGGGGGTCCCCAGATGATTGAGCGCGGTGCGACAGCAGCGGCCTGCGCGCTTAGGTTTGGCCCCCGCTCGCTCCCCAAACAAAAGCCGCGCACCCCAGGTCACTCTTGCCCGAGGGAGGGAGGGAGGATGAGGATGAGGAGAAGGAGGAGGAGGAGGAGGACGAGGAGGAGGGAGGGAGGGAGGGAGGGAGGGTCACTCTTGCGTGTAGCCGATCGTCGCTGTACTTCATCGTGCAGGGCATCCAGGTGTGGGTTTCCGACTATCCGACCGGCCTGCGGCCGCTTGCCGCCAGCCCCCCTCGGGCCTCCTCCTGCTGCTCCTCCTCCTCCTCCTCCTCCTCCTCCTCCTGCTCCTTCTCCTCCTCCTCCTCCTCCTCCTCCTCCTCCTCCTTCTCCTCCTCCTCCTCCTCCTCCTCCTCCTCCTCCTCCTCCTCGGCTAGCTCTTGTGGCGGTGCTTTGGAACAGCTTGGGAGCCATCGTGGGGCCTCCGCCGGGGGCATGTATCGAAGGAGGAACATACACCAATACCGATACCCTTTTCTCGTTTTCACCTTTTTGGGGCCTCCTGGGAGGCCCTCGTCGCCACGGCTGAAATCGCCTCGAAATCCTGGTCAAGACGCACACCATGAAAGGTCTGGGGATTAGCGGTATCGGTACCCTGTGGTTTCCCCAATGTTGGGGCCTCCGTGGCCATCGTCGGATCGTACTGGGAAATATTGGGGCTATCTTGGGGCCCTGATGGTGACAGGCACAGGCGCCCGAAACACACAATGAGTCTTCGGCTTCTCTTTTCCCCTCGGGGAGGTCGTGGGGCATGGGCCATCTTAGAGGCGTCTTGGGACCATCTTCGGCCGTTTTGGACGGTTGAGGCCCTCACAAGAGCCCTCCAGGGCCGTCTTCGAGGCCTCCCGGGCCCTACTGGGCGCGCGGTGGAGTCCTGATGGGAGTCCTGGGGCAGCCTCTAGAGCGGCCAGGACGTCGAGGGACACCCTCCTCCAGGTGGCTCGAGACGGGGCTGGAGAGACAAGGGACAACAAGTCAAAATATACCACAAATAACAAGACAGCAATCCAATGGAAAATTCTTCACAGTTCGCGTGTCCCCACCAGCCCATTCAGAAACGTTTCCCATGAGAGGTAGTGGTAAACGGGAGGAAGAGACACATATACTGAAACGAAGCGGCCAAGGAGAGGGGAAAGGAGCGTGTTGAGCCATCTTGGAGGTCGTTTTGAAGCATCGGAAGCAGGAGGATGAGGATTTTACAGAATTGCGCCCCCACTGACGCTAGCGGATCTTAAGCAGAATTTCGTCCTCATGGGCCAGACCCAAGAAGAATTTGATAGTCTCGTCATGGGCGTATTCTCTCTTGTGGCTCTCACTGGGCCAGCCACGGGCGTCATCGCTGGCGGTATCGTTGTCGACATGCACGGTGGCTACAGCGGTTTGCGGGCGCGGATCACGACGCTCAAGCTGATGCTTGGCGCGGCCACTGTGGCAACCATATCTGCCATCAGCCTTGGCTTCATCAAGGGTGGTAATGGCATGAGCGAGTTCTGGTATTTTGTTGTTCTCATGTGGCTCGTTCTATGCGCCGGTGGCGCGATCGTGCCTCCTGGCACTGGAATCATGTTGACCGTAGTTCGTGCCGAAATGCGCGCATTTGCGTCATCCGTGGGCCAGGGTTTCTACAATATTTTTGGATTCGGCATGGGATCATTGTTGCCCGGTGTGGCGATCAGTTTGATGCCGTTCGAAAACCCCCGATTGCGGCGACAGTACGGCATGATGACGCTGTTTGGATCCAGCTTCTTTGCGTGGCTCAGCCTGGCGTACATGGTTGCAAAGGAGGAGGGTCTCAAGAGGAGCCGAAGCAGGGAGACACTGGAGAAGCTGCAGGCGGCTCTGGACGAGCTCGCGGACGAGGACGAGCTCCCCCTGGATGAGCTGCAACGCCGCGACAACGGCATGTCGCAAGCGCTTCGCATGGTCGCGTGGTCGGGCCTGGATCCGCAGAATGCTCTCGTCAGGGAGGCCCAGCGTCGGCAGGAGGCCCTGCTTGCCACGATTGGCCGGCGCGCTGCCCGGGGCGGCGGTGACGACGGCGCGGCCCTTTCGGGCACGGCCACGAGCGTCGCGAAAGGAGGGGCGGACGGCGCTGGCTGACGACGGAGGCATGCCGGTGGAGGCCAGGGTTTGAGCGTCCCATGGTCGTCCAGCGTGAGCTGCAGAGTGGCAGCCTGCGCTCCGAAGGTGTGCATGCTGACCATTGGGGGAAGAACACCTCCTCGTCCTGCGTCTCCTGCTCCCTCGCGTCCTCATCCTTCTCATCTCCTCCCTGCTCCTCCTGAAGGGCCAGGCGTCGGTGCGTGTTGTGCCTTGCTGACGCGGTGCAAAAGGGCCATGACTTCGCCATGATGCGACCCTCCTCCATCCGCCGCGAGACCCCATGGGACCCCTTCTGGAGAAGGGAGGCGGACAAGGGGGGAAGGGGGGGAAGGAGGAAAGGCGGCGGAGGAGAGAGAGGAGTGGGAGCAGGAGAAGGGGGACGCTGCTTGAGGACGGCCAGGCTGAGAAGGAGGAGGTGGAGACGGGCGTTCTTCTCCCTCCTGTTCCCTCACCTTCCTCCAGCAGACGCGGCTGCGCCATGATGTCCAAGCCGCCCCTGGGATCACTATCCCCAGGCCTTCAGGCCTATGTAGCGCCGCCCGCTGGGGCCTCTGAACCCGAAATGTGGTGGCTGCTCCCGCAATGCCCAGCCACTTGGGGGGGCCAGTCCACCCCCGAAGGGAGGGGGTACTCTTGTTATCCTCCTGCTCCTCCTCGACGCTCAATGCTGCGAACCTGCGCGAGGCAGGGATTCATCCACAACCACTGCCTGGGGGATCGATCTCTGGGGACTTCGGCAGGCGGCACAGGTGGATATTAGTTGGCCTCCCCAGGACCCGAATATGTAGATATCCACTGCCTGCTGGGGCTCCCGAAGATCGATCTCCCAGGCGGCAATCATGGATAGATGCCCGCCTCGGAATCGGTTCGTCTTAAAGGACCGAGACCCTCGAACCCGTCCACTCTGGCCAGAGTCGGAGGGGGATGGGGGGAGGTGGGGAAACCTCAGACGACGGGGACAGCAGCAGAAGACGATGAATGACGCCCTGGCCCTCCGCTTCCTTCTCCTCCTCCCTCCTTATTTTCCTCTTCCTCCCTCCTCCTTCTCCTTCCTCCTCCTCCTCCTCCTCCTCCTCCTCCTCCTCCTCCCTCTCCTCTCCTCCCTCCTCCTCCTCCTCCTCCTCCTCCTCCTCCTCCTCCTCCTCCTACGGCTAAGGCTGGTGGCTTCCGATTTCGTCCTGAACGCAGCCATGCTTTCGGCGGCGGTCGCCGCTGGGGGAGGGGGGACCACACTGGGAGATCTGCAGAAGCAGTGGCGGAAAGAGGAAGGCCATCCAGGGGGCGAGGGGGGGCCCTGCGGCCTCTGGAGGCGGCGACGGCCTGCGGCAGGTCGCAGGCGGCGGCCTGCGGCGTGCATGGGCTGCTGGGCCACAGCCGCCCCAGACCCGAAAGCGGGATGGCGCGGCCTGGCGTCGCTCGGACTTGTGTTTTTTCTATTGGAGAGGCCTGACGGCCGGCGCCGCCGACCCTGATCGAAAGGGCTAGGAGTGGTGGGAGGAAGCGGAGGATGAGGAGGAGGAGGAGGAGGAGGAGGCCTGGCATCGCTCGGACTTGTGTTTCTTCTATTCCGGCGGGGGCCATCGAGGAGCTGCCTGTATCGTCGAGCAAAAACATGCGCACGGTGCCGAAAAGTGCGCGGGGAACGGACGTCCGAGCGGTGGCAAGGTGGAGGCCTCGCCCCATCCAGTCCACAGGGCGCCCCGCGACACGGCCCCCATGTCCCACCCGGGGCACCCGCAGCCCGCCGAGGGGGGCCTGGGGGTGCCCCGGGGCGGGGCGGGAAGCCGTTTCACGGGAGACGGACCGGCGGAGCATCCCGTGAAACGGCTTCCCGTCCCGCCCTCGGGCACCGCCATCCCGGGGGCCGTGGGCGAATCGAGGTGCTGCGAGCGTTCGGGCTGAGGGAGAGCGACCTCCCCGCGGTCCGAGAGCTCGGGTGCCAGGCCCTCGAGCGTTCAGCGAGCGTCGATTGCGATGAGACCGACCGCGAGGCGGAGCTCGAGTTGTGGGCAGCGGGTGGCTCGAGCCCTCCCCCCCCACCCCCCACCCTCCTCGAGAGCTCCCCCCCAGCTGCAGGCGGGCAGCGGCGGTGCGAGGTTGGGCTCTGAGGAGGGCCGCTGGGAGGAGGCTGGAGCTGATGAGGCAGGCTGGCGGCAGTGCGAGGAAAAGGGAGCGCAGAGAGGGTGTGCTGTTGTCTTCGCGCACTGGACGAGGTAAACGAGCGTTGTCCTCGCGCCCCCACCTGTAACAAGTGGGAAGTGCGGTGCGGGCGGCCACCTCGGGGCCCGAGCCTCCAGCCGTTGTTCAGGCCGCGGAAGCAGTTCCCGTAGGCACCTGTTGCCGCAGGCGCCGTTGCAGGCGCCGTTTCCCTTCTCATAGGTGTCGTTGCCCCCCGGGAGGTGGCACTCTCCCTGGAGGTGCCGTTGCCCTTGCCGTAGCTGCCGACCCCCGCCGGTGCAGTTGCCCTTGCCGCAGGTGTCGCCCCAGGAGGGGGCGTCGCCCTTCCCGCAGGTGGAGGTGCCCTCGCCAGCGTCGGCGTGCTCCCCGTGAGGCGCTGTCGCCCTGGCCGTAGGCGTCTTTGCCGCCGTCTCTGCCGTGGGCGCTCCCGTGGGTGTCGTGCGCGGAGGGGTTCGGGTCAGGCGCTCGCGTAGCCGCTGTTGCCGTTGCCGCAGGTGTCGCCCACGTAGGCGTCGCTGCCCTTGCCGTCGGCGTCGTCGCCCTTCCCGTCGGCGTCGCTGCCTTTGCTGTGGGCGTCGTTGCCCTTCCCGTAGGCGTCGTTGCGTTTGCCGTTGCCACGGGTGGCGTTGCCTTGGGCGCCGTAGCCGCAGACGCTCGCGCAGGTGTCGTGCGCGGAGAGGTTCGTGTAGGCGCCCCCGTAGGTGCTCCAATAGGCAGCCTCGTATGCGCCATGGCCGCTCCCGCGAGGGTTCCCGTAGGTGTAGTCCCCATGGGCAGTCAGTCGCATTTAAGAATGCGTTGGCCAGTGATTTGGCAACGCACGAAGACTTACGCGTCGGCGCGGAAAGTGTCGGCCGCCTTGTAGTGGATGCCGAGGGCAGCGAGGAGTTCCTTCATGAAGGACTGGGTTTTCGGGCCTGTGATGTGCCGCACATGGTTGAAAGCGATGTCGAGCCGCTCCAGCTTGCGCACCGTTGTGGTTACAAGGCGATTGTTGCGCCACGCGGCCAGCGCTGCCTGCGCAAGCCCTTCGGGATGCTGCCCAATAACGTCGCAGACTGTGCGAAGCGCTTGGCTGTGGAGCTCCATCAGGAAAGAAGCCATGGCCTGCGGAGTACGATTGAGACGTAGAGAGGCCTGGACATGCGATGCCGAAACCTTGAGCCAAAACATGGCTACGGACCCTCCTCTCTCCTCCTCCTCCTCCTCCTCCTCCTCCTCATCATCATCATTATCATCATCCTCCTCCTCCTCCTCCTCCTCCGCCTCTTCCTCCCCCTCTTCCTCCTTCTCTTTCTCTTATTATTCCTCCTCTTTCTCTTCTTCTTCATCCCCATCATCATCATCAGCAGCAGCATCAGCAGCATCAGCATCATTATCAGCAGCATCATCATCCCCATGATCATCATCATCATCATCATCATCATCATCATCATCATCATCATCATCATCATCATCATCATCCTCATCCTCCTCCTCCTCCTCCTCATCATCATCATCATCATCATCATCCCCATCATCAGCAGCAGCAGCAGCAACATCAGTATCAGCATTGGCATCATCATCATCAGCAGCAGCATCATCATTGCCATCCTAGTCATCATCGTCATCGTCATCATCATGCCGACGCCACGAGAACGGGCGGCCGAAGTGCAGCCTTCGCCGTCGCACCGCGGGCGGCGCAGGAGGACCCAGTCCTCCAGCGCCCTGGGCAGAAGCAACGCACACTTTGTTCCCAAGTCAGCGGGCGCAAGCGAGCCGAAGCAGGTGCAAGCGCCAGCGGGGCTACGGCCGGGACGCGCCGGAAGCGAACCGGGGCACGGCGGGACGCGGGAAGGGCAGAGGGGAGGAGAAGAGCAGAGGCGCTCGGATGGTGCAGACCGTCGTGGGCTCGTGGGCCACACGGGCGTGTTGCCGTTCTCGCCTGGCGTGGGCCCTCACTGGGCCCTGGGCCCCTGGGCCGACGAAGAAACGGCCTGGGTGGAAAAACGGCCCCAGGGGAAAGGTCGGACCCTTCCTTGGGGGGCCCGAAGATTGAGTCGGGCACGCCCCTCTAGATTGAGATATGTTTTGGCAAGAGCGGAAAGAGCTCTCTCACGAAAGGAAAGGAGAGAGACTCTGAAAGAGTCCCTCCCCTTTCCCAGCAAGGGGGAAACCCATCAGGGGAGCAGGAGGGGAGGTGGATCTGCACCGCTGCGCACTCCCAAGAAGCATAACCAAGAGGAAGCCCAGGCCTCCGACGTCCTGGTTTCTTCAGCAGCGCAGACCTCGCAAGGAGGCCCACTCCTCCTCCTCCTCCT